TATATATATAGTCTGTGAATCCTGTTCATTGACAATGGCAATAAAACTGATTCTGATTGGCAGCAGTTAAAAAGTTATGTTTCATATAACTATTTTTCACACAAACAAATTTTAACTAATTCGATGCATGTTTCTTTAAAAGGTCTTAATTAATTATGGTCTTACCTTTACTTATAAATGAAGTCCATTCGTCTTCCTTTTTAAATTACCTGCTTCGACTGAAAGTCCAATTTAAAATAYTGTTTCAGTTTAGAAATATAAGCCTCCATTTTAAAATGTTTGAAAAGTAGAAAAAGCTGTGGCTGCACCTGCTAAATACCAGATTTTAATTAACTTTCTTCCTCTGCAGCAGTGAGGAGTAACAATAACAACTGCCGTGCTCACAGGCGCCCCCTACCGTCACGTGCAAAAAAACCCTCACTGGCCTGTTGTGTCTTTTCTCAGCCGTTTCAACAGATTTAGCTCATTACACAAACACATATTTATATAATAAACATCCACTAAACTGTGAAAAGTCAGGTGCATATTTAAACATTTCAGAAACRTTTTACTGGCGACATAGAGACAAACTCTGCTCTCACTCTAACCTGCAGGAGGGATTGTGCAATCTGGAGTCGGATCTTGATTTTTCCTCATGTCTCGTCCTGTATTTGAACAGGATATGAGGAAATTCAGCGATTTTGAATAAGAAAAATATTTAAAAGTGTTTAAGTTAATTGAAAATGTGTTTATAGTACAAAGCATTATGTAAATATGACAGTTCCATGTGTTTAATGTTGTTTCTTTTTAATTTCCCCTGCCTGTAGTGACCTCACATCACTGCCTGGTGGCATTAATCATATTAAYCRTYTAGWGCCAGAAAGTAATCGATTAATGTTTTTCTGATGATTAATTGCACACGATATATTTATGCCCAACCCTGCAGGTCAACTGGCTCTAATTTATCAGGAGGTGAATGTTTGTCGCTCAGTGACCGCTGAACACGAGGCTCCGGCTCGTCGAGGTGAAGACGACGGACGTCTTCTTCACTCAACAGATTTTTTGGGACAAATCTTGTGTCTCAAAAAAAGGCGAAGAGAAAAGCGAGCAGCTCTTTCCCAATCGTCTTGGCTCCACAGACGAAGCTGTAAGTGGTTCCTGATGTGTTCTGTTGAAACCTGCGGTGAGGAAACTCCCCGTCTAAAAACATGTTTTATTTCTTCCACTTTTCACRGAAAACAGAAACGATTTGAAAGCAAAAAAACAGAAACTGTTTATTTCTTCCTTCAGTTTAAATCAAACCTGAAGCAGATCTTATTTATTTATTTACTGTTATTTTACCAGGCGAGTCCCACTGAGACCTCAGATCTGTTTTTCGAGGGCGGCCAGGACCAGATCCTCTGTGTTTGTGAGGTCACTCGTGTGTCAGTAAGCAGTTCTCCTCCTGCGCTCCGGCCCTCCTCTCTGCCAGGACCTTCGTTCTGTCCTGAAGCTCCTGAGCAGAGAACCTCCTCACGGCGAAGCGGCGGTCTCCGTGCGAGGCCACCAGTTTGTGGATTCCTGAGAGCAGCTCCTTCACCTGAGCGTAGCTCAGAGGACTGCGGGACCTGCTGAGGTTCAGCTCGAAGTACCGGCTCCCGCACCTCCTGACCAGGTCCTGCAGGCTGGGGTGGGATCCGGACACGTACTGGTCGATCCTCTGAGGCTCAGACTGGTTCCCGTCGAAGCGAACAAACAGGATGATGGCGTGCTCCGCCACCTCTCGCCCGAAGACCCTCTGCAGGTGTCCCAGGATCTCGCTCTCCACCTGGGTGAAGCGACCCACCTGGAGCACCAGCAGGAACACGTGGGGTCCAGGCAAGGCCAGGGCCAGGCAGTCTTTGACCAGATCCAGGTCCTCCACCCCGTCTTCGTCCCACAGCTCCGGAGTGTCCACCAGGATCAGCCTCTTCCCTCCAGCAGACATCTCCTTCCTCTCACAGGTCACTGTTGGAGGAACCGGGTCCTGACCCGGGTCCTGGGACCAGTACTGGTTCCTGCCTCGGTTCAGGATTAGATTCAGGGCTGAGGACTTCCCGCTGCCAGTCAGACCCAACAAAACCACAGAGATCCTCTGGGTTTCATCATCTGTAAACCAAAAGAGAAAATACTTCAGGAAGTTCCTTCATCTGCAGAAAAACAGCCGAATATTTTCGCTAAAATCAGCCAAAGAAGCTAAAACTGGACTGGAACAGCCAAAAAAGCAGAACACTAGCTAAAACCTAAAAAGACTAATGAGGCAAAATGCTAGTAAAAACAGAAATAAACAAAACAGCAGCTAGAAGCTACATGTAGCAAAACATTAGCTAAAAGCTAAAAGTAATAGAACAATAGCTAAAGTAACAATAGGTTAGCTAAAAGCTAAAAGTAGCAGAACAATAGCTAAAGTAACAATAGGTTAGCTAAAAGCTAAATGTAGCAGAACAGTAGCTAAAGTAACAATGGGTTAGCTAAAAGCTAAAAGTAGCAGAACAGTAGCTAAAGTAACAATAGGTTAGCTAAAAGCTAAAGGTAGCAGAACAGTAGCTAAAGTAACAATAGGTTAGGTAAAAGCTAAAGGTAGCATAACAGTAGCTAAAGCGACAATGGGTTAGCTGAAAGCTAAAAGTAGCAGAACAATAGCTAAAGTAACAATAGGTTAGCTAAAAGCTAAATGTAGCAGAACAGTAGCTAAAGTAACAATGGGTTAGCTGAAAGCTAAAAGTAGCAGAACAATAGCTAAAGTAACAATAGGTTAGCTAAAAGCTAAAGGTAGCAGAACAGTAGCTAAAGTAACAATGGGTTAGCTAAAAGCTAAAAGTAGCAGAAAGACAGCTAAAGTAACAACAGGTTAGCTAAAAGCTAAAAGTAGCAGAACAATAGCTAAAGTAACAATAGGTTAGCTAAAAGCTAAAGGTAGCAGAACAATAGCTAAAGTAACAATAGGTTTGCTAAAAACTAAAGGTAGCAGAACAGTAGCTAAAGTAACAATAGAGGTTAGCTAAAAGTAGTAAAAGACAAAAGAGTAGCCAGCAGCTTGAAGAGAATCTGAAAGTGTTTTCAGGGGAAATATATTTGTAAATACTGTTGAATATTTTGTAAATGTAAAAAAAAAAAAATTGACAAAAGCTAAAACCCACTGCAGCCGTCTCCTGAATGAGCCGAACGTTTTATATGTGAGCAGCTAAAACAGCCCAACGTCTGCAGAAGTAGTGAAGCTAAATAATACTGAGATRCTGAGTCAGCATGAAAAAAACAACCTGCTGAGAGTCTGAGAAAAGAATCGTTTGTTGTCCTGACAGAGCAGCTCGTCTGCCTGAGGGTCACCTGCAGAGAGGTCAACTCACCTGCAGAGGTCACCTCACCTGCAGAGGTCACCTCACCTGTAGAGGTTCACCTCACCTGCAGAGGTCACCTCACCTGCAGAGGTCACCTCACCTGCAGAGGTCACCTCACCTGCAGAGGTCACTTGCAGAGGTCACCTGTAGAGGTCACCTTCAAAGGTCACCTCACCTGCAGAGGTCACCTGCAGAGGTCACCTGTAGAGGTCACCTGCAGAGGTCACCTCACCTGTAGAGGTCACCTGCAGAGGTCACCTCACCTGCAGAGGTTCACCTCACCTGCAGAGGTCACTTGCAGAGGTAACCTCACCTGCAGAGGTCACTTGCAGAGGTCACCTCACCTGCAGAGGTCACCTCACCTGTAGAGGTCACCTGTAGAGGTCACCTGCAGAGGTCACCTGCAGAGGTCACCTGTAGAGGTCACCTGCAGAGGTCACCTGCACAGGTTCACCTCACCTGCAGAGGTCACTTGCAGAGGTCACCTCACCTGCAGAGGTCACCTCACCTGTAGAGGTCACCTGTAGAGGTCACCTGCAGAGGTCACCTGTAGAGGTCACCTGTAGAGGTCACCTGCAGAGATCACCTGCAGAGGTCACCTGTAGAGGTCACCTGCAGAGGTCACCTGCAGAGGTTCACCTCACCTGTAGAGGTCACCTGCAGAGGTTCACCTCACCTGCAGAGGTCACCTGTAGAGGTCACCTGCAGAGGTCACCTCACCTGCAGGGTGTGTTTGATAAGGAATGGACCCTCTCACCTTCAGGAGCTGTCCTCTGCAGCTGCAGCATGCACCTGTGGCTGCTCACAGCTTCATGAAGATTCTCCCTGTTCTCCTTATGTTGTTTTTCTTCGGCTGCTTCCTTCCTCCTCTCCTCCTGGTGTTGGGCTCTCAGCTCCTCCGTCTCTCTGGCTCTTCTCTCTTCCTGTTTCTGGACCTCCTCCATGAAGGCCCGCCTCTTCTCCTCGGCCTCCTGCAGCTTCCTGCGCAGCATGTTCATGGCCAGGTCCTCGGTGCAGCTCCTGTTGGACCGGGCCAGCGTGGCCTCGGTGTAGCCGGCTGAGTTCTTCTCAGCGACCACGTTCTTCACCATCTCCTGCAGCGCCTGCAGCCCGCCCCCTGCAGCCCACCTCCTGATGCGACAGTACCTGCCCTCGCACACGTTTATCAGGTCCACCAGAGCGTCGTCCAGCGTGTCCGCCACTTTCCCGTCTTCCACCGACAGAATCACCAGATGCTTCAGAGCTTCGGCTCCAAAGTGAGCCTGCAGGATCTCCACCAGCCTTTGTTCCTTTTCTGTGTAGAGTCCACCGTGGACCAGCAGGAGGAAGGCGTCGGTTCCTCCTCTGCAGGACTGCGAGGAGTCGCTGATGGTGTGGGACATGTCCTCTTTCAGGTCTGCGCGATGCAAACTGATGGAGCGGTCCTCCACGCTCAGGTCACAGACTGCTTCAGGTCCCAGAGACCTCAGAGTCATCTGGAACCCGTTGTCTCCAGAACTGTTCTGCAGCAGAGAGGTCAGGGAGGACCATCCTTCGGCTGTGGCTAAAACCACCAACATCTGCCTGGAGTTTGCGACGGCGTCTGAAAAACACCAGAGAACCAACAAAACACTGATTCAATTAAACCAGAGAAAAATATACAAGATAAACAACTTGTATGAGCTGAAAGCTACAAGTTAGCTACGAGCACTAAGACATTAGCTAGAAATCAAAAGCATCAACAAGCTAAGTAAAAAGGTTAAAAACTGGAAAAAATGCTTAAAGTGATCAGAAATCTACATAAAGCCAACATCTTCATGGAATTTGTGTGAACCTCAGCTTAGCCTGTTAGCTTTAGCATTAGCCCCGATGCTATCACCATATATGTGTATTAGCTCAGCGCTACACATTCTCCTCTCGTCACTGAGGTCCTCCATCCACATGACAGAGAGGAGTACACAAAAATGACTCAGCTGTAACTGAAAATATGGATGGAAGACCTCAGTTTAGCTTGTTTGTTGCGCTAGCACAAAGCTAACACATATAAGGCAATGTAGCGCCAGCACTAGTGCAAAGGCTAACAGGCTAAGCTGAGGTTCTTCTTCCATGAAGCAGCTCTGTTGTTC